ATAATTAATTTCAGAAATAAAAAAAATAAAAATTATTTTGTATTTTTTTTTTATAAATTAATAAAATTTTATATATTATAAATTTTTTTTAATTTAAAAAATATATATATATTTTATTTATAACTTTTTATTAAAGATAATTTAATATATATTACAATATATGTATTAATTGAATATATTATATTTTAAATATATGATAATATTTATATATGTTATCCATTAAATATATTTTTATAAAATTTAAACTATATTTTTAATTTTTGAATATTTTTAATCTTAAATTGATTAAATTTATATTTTTTATTAGATTTATTTATAATGTTTTAAATTTTAATCAGATAAATAAAATATTATTTTTAAATAAATGTAATTTTGAAAAAATAAAGAATAAAAAAATAAAAAGAAACAAAAACTTTAAGATATTTATATAAATGATTTAATTTTAAAAAATCTTTTAAAATACATTTTTAAAAAATAAAATAGAATGTAATATATAATTCAAATTATGTACTAAAATGTTAAAAAACATTATAATAATAATTTTATATTTAATTTGTATATTCTAAATCATAAAATATTAATAAAAAAAAAGCTTTATTAAAATGAGTATTTTTGTGAAAAAAATTAGTAAATTTTAAACATGAAATTATTTAAAGTTTGGAATTATAAAATGGGGAAGACAAAAAAAAAAGGATAAAGCATTGATTTATATAATAATATTTAAATTTCATTGATATTATTAAATTTATAAAAATTAAAATACTATAAATTATTCAAAAGATTAAGTATTAGAAATAAAAATAGTATTTAAAATTTTATAATTGAATATATTTATACTAAAAAAAGTAAATTAAACATCAAATCAAATTTTATTTTATAAAAATAATAATATTTAGTATAGTTTAAAAAAAATTAATATTTTTTTCAAATTAAAAATATAATTTTTCTTAGTAATTTATTTAATTTTCGATTTTCATGAAGTTTTTAATATTTTTATCTTAAAAAAAATATAAAATAGTTTAATAAATTTATATTAATTCTATTAAATATTAAGTAATTTATATATATTGATTAAACTTTATATTTTATATTCATTAGCTTAAATTTTATATTTTAATTTATTACTAAATTTAATCATTTCTTATCTATTTAAATTAAATTTTTTAAATTTATATTTAATTAAAATAATAATTTTAAGTTAATTTTATTTCTATTTTACATTTAATAATTTTCTTTATGTAATTCTAGAATCTTTTTTAATATATGTTTATATATTACAGATAATATCATGTAATTATTCTATATATTTTTCATTATAAGATAGTTCAAATATTTATTACAATTCTTAAAAAAAATTATTATATAACAAACTTAAAAAAATATATTGACAGAAATAAAGAAAATTAAATTAAACAAATAAACCTAAAATATAAAAACCAAAAAATAAAGATATTCGAAATTTGAATAAAAAAAACAATAATTAGAAAATAATATTGTATTTTGGAAATATAATAAATATATATAGAGATTATATTTTAATTTTAAAAATAAAATATAAATAATTATATAATAAGGTTTAAAATAAAAATTAATAGAATATTATATAAAATAATTTATAAAATTAATATAATAACATAAAAAATAATTAATCATTAATAATTTTCTTCATATAATTTGAAATTTAGTAATAAAAAAAATAATAAATTTTCAACAAATACTTTTGTTTTTTTTTACATTATTAATTATTTAATTATCAATTGAGATGTCTGAGAAACTTTAGATATAAGATAAATTTTTTGGTCCATCATACTTTTTTTCGGATATTATTTCGAGTTTTCACTCTTTTATTTTTAAGTTTATTAGTTTTTTTTCCATAGATAATTAAATGTAAATAATAATAAAATATATTTATTAGAAATATTAAATAATAAAAGAAGAATGTATTAAAATAGGTGAATTTAATAATATAAAATAATAAATCAAGTTACTATATAAAAAATATAAATAATATATATAAAAATAAAAATAAAACTTTTAAATTATAAATAAATATATTGTTTATCTTTTTAAATATTAATAATATTATTAATATAAAAATTTAATTAATTTAATTTTTAGTATTTTGATTTATACAATTAATTTTATTAATTAAAAAAAAGTAAAAGTAAAATAATAAAATATTTAGATTATATATAATAAATCAAGTAAAAAATATTCTTAAATAATTAAAAATAATTTTAATTAAATAAATTAATTTTATTAAAATTTAAAAATATATAAAAACTTATTTATAATATTCTGTAATAATAAATATTTAAAAAAAAAAATTTTTGATAGTAAAATTTAAACTAATTTTTTCATATTATATATATTTATATATATATAATATATTTTTATATATTTATATAAATACATATGTATATATTATTTAAATAATTAAATTTATAATTATTATTTTTTTGATTTTAATATTTTTATTTTTATTGATATTAATAGTTATAGTTTATAATTTATTTTATTTTTTATTTTTGTTTATTATTTTTATTTAATATTTATTTATTTTATTTTCTAGATTTTTTTATTTTAACTATTTATTCTATTTTAAATGATTAAATTTTAATTTTTAATAATTAACATAATTATATACTGATTTAATATTTTTTATAAAATTAAATTATTTAATTTATTTTCTTCTTACAAATTTTAATATAAAATTAATTATTCTTTATTATATTTATGAAAATAAATATAATTATTTAGTTTTAAATATTTTTTTATAATTTATTTTGAAAATTAATATTTATATATATTATTATAATTTTTTTTAATTTATATTTTAATAATATATCTTTTAATAAAAATACAAAACTAATTTAATTGTATAATGTTTTAAAGTAAATAACTAGAATAATAAAAATCAGATTAATAGGACTACATATAAATATGTATTTTGTATTATAATAATTTCAATAATTTTATATAAATAATTCATTATTTTATTAAATTTATTTAAAATAATTTAAAAGTTAAAAATTATAACATTATTAAATTGTGATAGTTCTTTTTTTATATATTCTTTAAAAAAAGTTATTTACAATTTATTAAAATTATTAATAAATTATTTAATTATAAAATCGAGCTTAGAAATTAATTAAATTAGTCAATAAATGTATGTATTTTTTATAAATTTATTTTTTCTATTAAAACGATTTTGATTTTATTGTTATTATGGTTTTATAAATAATAATTTACAATATTAATTATGATTTTTTCTTTTTCTTTTTCTATTAAAGCATTTATTCTATATTACTTATTTTGAACTATAATTAAGATTATTAGTAAATATCAAATATATATTTTATATTATAATAAATACAAATTATAAAAAAAAATTTAACTTAAAATTATAATTTATTATCTTTTTTAAATTACTTTAATAAAAATTAATTCTTAAAAATTTTAAATTGATATAAAAGAATATTACTTTTTAAAAAACATTTAAATAAAAATGAGATATTATTCAAATAAAGATATATAATTAGAAGAATAATGCAATCATATGTGTTTTATAAATCCTTTAATTAATTAACATTTTTAAACATAATATTTTGTTGTAAAAATATATTTTTATAGAAATAATTTTTTTTAATTCATAAAAAGAAATAATTATAAAATAAATAATTTCAATGCTCATATTGTTCAAATAACTGTCCAAAAGTTTGGATTTGTCTAAAGGTAATAAATAATATTATTAAAATTTGTTGGATTATAAATAAAATTTAAATTATATTTTTTAAATAAAAGAATGGATGTTAAATAAATGTATGCGAAGATAATTTAAATTAGCATATATTGACACATGTTAAAGGTAAAAAAATAATAATAATAAAAAAAATTATTAAGTTATTAATTATAATAAGAAACTTAAAATAATATAATTGAAGAAAAACATTGTTTATTTATAAATCCAATTACAACATAAATATATTGTTTTTTATGCGATAAAGAAATATATGATTTTGAAATGTAATAAATAATTAAATATTATATTTTTTAATTTAATTAATGTTTAAAATAATTAAATATAATTTTTAAGCAATTTTTTTTATTTTTTTGAATTAATTAATTGTTATTAAAAAGGTATTGTAAAGAATAAAATGATCCTCAGTTTAAAAACTGGCCTAATCCAAGAAACATAAGAGAAATATTCTTCCAAATAAGATTTGATTGGAATGATAATTTACGTAATTTAAATTAAAAAGAATTATGTTTAAAATAAAAAAAAAATTAAGTTAAATCAAACATGTCTTATCCTAAATCTCACTGGAAAAGTAGTAAAGGTAAATGTGGGTTAATAAATATTGGAAATACAAGCTTTATTAATTCGATTTTATAAATATTTAGCAACATACCTATATTTCGTAAAGTGTTTAAAAAAATATACAAAGTATATTCTAATTTAAATACTGACGCTGTACCTTCATCTTTAAATAAAAAAGTTACTTATTATTTTTCTAAACTTGTTGATTAAATTTGGTAAGGATAACATAGAGCTTTAAAACCTTTAGTAATTTTATTATATTCTTTATTTAATTTATTTTTATCTATATAAATTAGGAATTAGTTCAAGTTTTTTATTAAATTGAAAAAAGGTTTAAAGGATATGGTTTTAAAGATCCTTATGATTTTTTCAAATAATTTGTCAATATATTACATGACGATTTTAAATACATAAGTTCAAAAGCTTATGATATGAAAAGAAATACTCCTGTCTGTAAAAGCTTTTTGGAAGAATGGGATATTATGTAAAATTAATTATGTGATTTTTATTCAAAATTAATTAATAAAAAAAAAGAAATAATATAAAAAATTACACAGATTATTCTATTATTTCTTCGTCTTTTAAAGGAAAGCTATGCGCAAGAGTTAAATGCACTTAATGCAATTAGATTTATTGGTGTGAGGAGGATTTTATGGGAATTTCACTTGATATACCTTAAAAAGGAGTATGATTTATATATTTTCTGTTCTATTTTTTTTTTAATAATATAAAGAATCCTTAGTAATTAATAGAATGGGGGATAGAAGAAAATTCAAACAATTAAGAAAAATAAGTAAAAGAAACAAATATATTCAAAAGATTTTTTACTTTAAATAAGTAACAAATAAAATTAATTTTTTTATTTATATAATTAAATTTTATTTATATAGATAAAATAAAGAATAAACGAAAACAAATATAACATTACACGAATGTATAATAAAATTTTGCGAATTAGAATAAAGTTCTTATACAAAAAGGTATAAAACCCACAAATACATAAATATTTATTTTTATTTTTAAAAAATAAATAAACTATTAGTTTTTATTGTGAATAATGTAAAGATCAAGTTATAATTGAAAAAACATATACATTTTTAACTCTTCCGAACATATTATGTATTCACCTATAAAGATTTAAAGAAAAGGCATTTCAAAAAAATAAAACAGTAATAGAATTTCCTATAAACTAATTAGAATTTTCCCATTTCATAAAAGTATACATTTTTAGTTTTAAAATAATATTTATAAAAAATAAAGAGTATAGATTCATATGATTAAAAATTAACTTAATTCGAATTACTTGGACTTATCGAACATGAATAATCCTAAGGCGGAGATCATTATTCTACAATAGTAAGAAATAATAAAAACGGATTATTTTATAAATATATGGATGATAATGTGAAAGTAATTGACTAAAATCTTGTTCAAGAATGTGAACCTTATATTCTTTTTTACAAATTAAAACATGAATCCGAAAATGCTCTAATTAGAAATTTGCATAGTTAAATTAAATTGATTAAATCAGGAGAAATGAATTTAAATATTAATAAAAGCGCCTTTTTACCTTGTTATTGGTATGAAAAATTAGTTAATATGGCGAATCCGGGTATGATTATTACATAGCATTTGATTTGTTGCCATGGGAAATTAAAACCCGATTTTTTTGATTGTTTCCCTCCTAAATAGAATAAAAATTCAGTTATAATTGCAGATTCTTCAACTATGGACCCTAGTATTTTAGTTGATATGTCTATTAACAATGATAATCAATGTGATACTAATTATGCTATAGAATTTTTAAATAATCAAAGTGTTACAGTTCCAGTTGAAATTGCAAATTATTTAATTGAATAATATGGTGGAGGACCTCTATTAGAAGGAAATCAAGAAATTTGTATAAAATGTATAAAACTAGCTAGATCTATTAAAAAAAGAAGAAAATTAGAAAGAGAATTAATTGCAAAATATGATAAAAAATGTAAATATAAAAAAATCATATATATATATATATATATATATATATATATATATATATATTTATATATATATATATATATATAATTTTAGTTACTGAAGAAACATACATTATTAACGAAGTTTGGATGACTAAATGGAAAGAATATTTATATTCAAACAAAAAATTTTTGAAAAGAAATTTTATAAAAGGCTTACCTCCTCCAGGTCAAATTTAAAATAAAACATTATTAAATGCTTAGAATGAATTGAAATAAGGAATGAAAAAAAATGTTAATTTTATAATTGTTAATGATTATATATGGTAAATTTTTAGAAATTTATATGGCGGAGGTCCTGCTTTGGTTATAAATGATTATAATTCAAGGAAAAAAAATTATATTAAAGTAATTTTTTTTTTTTATTTATAAATTATTTAAAATAGCCTTAATTGACAAAATAAGATATTGAAATCATTTAAGAAATGTAATTTTTATTAGATGAAAAAAAAACTTTGAATATGATAAATAATATTTTATCAGATGATCTAAAACTTAATAATTAACAAAAATTATAAGAATAATAAAAACCGATGGTAAATAGAAGGTCTTAAAGTCTTTTAAGAACAAAAATAAGCTCTTCAAGTATCAAAAGATTACAAAGTGTTGATTTAGACAAATAATAAAGCAAATAAGAATAATATTATAATGGAAATAAAAATATTAAGATAAATTCAAGCTAATAAAAAAAATAACATAAATTAAAAGAAAAGTCATAAAATCAAATCGATTTGCAAATTGATAATGATAAGATAAATATAAAATAAGAATATAAAAAATAATGATTTAATAAATAAAATTAAAATGTCTAGTTCATAATATAAATAAAGACAATAATTTCGTTTATATAGTTTTTGATATGTATAATATGTAATTATAAATAATAATTTTATATATGTATATATATTATATAATTTATTTAATTTTTATTTTAAAATAAAATATTTCATATCAATTTATATTTTATTTTTATTATTAATGGCATCATTGTGAATTTTTTTCACTCAGTTCGGTATTTTATCATAAAAAAAGGAAAGTTTTTTATGAGAAGGAAATAAAATAAATTATAAATATTTTCTTCTTTTGTTTAATCGAAATAACAATCAATTTTTAAAAAAGTGTAAAAAAATAAAAAGGAATTATTGTTTTTCTTTTAATAACTATTTTAAATTTTAAGAATTTAAAATAGTTTACTCAAAGAAAATGAACCTTTTTAGATTTTATTATAAAAAATTTAATTGTGTAATTAGACAAAACTTATTTAAGAAAATATGAATAATTTTATTTTATTTTCCTTCATTTTACCTTTCCTTTTTTAATCAAATAAGATCAAGACAAAAAATAAAATTATTATAATTTTTTTTTTAATTATATTATATTTATATACAAAAAAGGCTAAATAATTTATTAGATAAAAAGTATTTATTTACTGAAAGACAAAAAAACAAACAAACAAAATTAAAAAAATAAAAAAATAAAAATAAAATAACAAAAAATAAATGCACATTTTATTAGAAACATCAGCAGGTTTTGCTCTCTTCTAAGTAAATAACGAAAAAAAGCTTAAAAAAGTAGACGATCTATATTCATATTTTGTAAATGAAGATTAAGCAAAAAAACTGTAAATAAAATAATAAAAAGAAAATATATTATATAACAAAAAACTCTAAATAATATATTTTTATAATAAACAAAAAAATAGTGTAAATCTTGTCGCTTTCTAAAAATTCAAAGACACAACAGATGCAATTAAATCTACATCCAAACTAATAAAAGGAAAAGTTCCTAAAAAATTAAAGAAGTTTTTACAAACAAATTTAATTTCTTAAGAAATCTAAGACAGATTGGCAAGTAAATAAAAAAAAGCTAAAATAGATATAATATATAAATTAAATAAATAGTAAGTGATAAAAAGTTAGGAAAATCAATAACAGAAAAGCTCGGAATCGAATGTACAAACTACAACATGGATTTATTCAAAGGTCTTCGTTTACAACTATGTAACATGGTAGCTGGTTTAACTGAAAAAGAACTCCAAACAATGAATTTAGGTTTATCCCATGGTCTTTCCAGATATAAATTGAAATTTTCTGCTGAAAAAGTAGACACAATGATCATCCAAGCTATTTCTCTATTAGATGATTTAGAAAAAGAAGTCAATAATTACATGATGAGATTAAGAGAATGGTACGGCTGGCATTTTCCTGAAATGGGAAAAATTGTAACTGATTCTCTTGTATATACTAAAGTCGTTTTAGCCGTAGGAATGAGAACTAAAGCTCATTCTTCGGATTTAAGTGGCATTCTTCCTGAAGATATCGAAAAAGAAGTTAAATAGGCTGCTGAAATTTCCATGGGTACTGAAATAAGTGAAGAAGATGAGAAGTTTATCCTCGAATTAGGTAGTTAAATTGTCGATTTATCTGAATATAAGGAAGAATTACAAAATTATCTCAAAAACAGAATGTAGACTATCGCTCCAAACTTATCAGCTATGCTTGGAGAATTAGTGGGTGCAAGATTGATTTCTCATGCAGGTTCATTAATAAATTTAGCTAAATATCCCGCGTCTACTGTCTAAATTTTGGGAGCTGAAAAAGCACTGTTTAAAGCTATCAAAACTAAGATGAATACTCCTAAATATGGACTCATTTATTAAGCTAGTATTGTCGGATAGGCTTAAAACAAACTTAAAGGAAAAATCTCGAGAACTTTGGCGGCTAAAACTGCTCTTTGTATTAGATGCGATGCCTTAGGAGAAGATGATGAGGCCTAAATTGGGGCTGAATCGAGATAGTATGTAGAAAAAAGACTACAGTTTTTGTAATAGAATGAATAAGGAGGATTTGTAGCTAAACCTTAAAAGAAAGGAGCTAGTGCAATTGAATCAAAAAGTACTGGAGGATATAATAATGCAGCTGATTATACAAATAAGTTTAGAAAAAGTAACGAAACTCTTGGATAAAAGTAATAAATTTTATTATCTTTTTATATATTTTTTTTTTAGTTAAGAAGAACCATAGAAAGTTAAAAAATTTAAAAAGGATTGAACTTTTTTTTTTTAAGAATAATAATTATTATAAATAAAATTTATTGGTTCTATATTTATATATTGATTTTATTTATTATTATTTTTTTTAGATATTAATTTTTTAGATTTTTTTAATTATTTCATAATTTATATAAATAAAATTAAATAAATATTTGATATTTTTTTAAAAAATTTAAGTCAATATAAATAAAATGATATTTTTTTTTATTAAAATAATGTATAAATAATAATAAATTTAACTTAAAATAAATAAAAAAAGCACAGACAATTTATTTATTTTTAAAAAAAGGAAAAACTATAATATTTGAATAAAATTTAAAACTAAATATATAAATTAAGTTTTTATTATCGAGTACATATTTATATAAATGCGTATATTTTTACTTTTTCAATTTTATTTTTAGCTTTGAAATTTTTTTTAAATGCTTTTTAAATGGCCAACAATTTTATAATTTGCACAAAAAGTTAAATAAGCAGCATCTAATTATTATTCTTCATCTAGAGTTAATTTTTTATAAAAATAAGTGTAAAAATGTTTTGGGTCAACCACCATTTTTGCAAAATTAACTGAGCATTCTTATCCCGCAAGTATTTCATATCTTCCACCTCTTGTAAAGTCCTCTATATATTTTTTTTATATAAGTGTAATTAATATCAATTATTTTAATTTAAAAATATAATATTACTTGATTTTGTAACATCGAAAACTGCACCTTTTACACTAATATATACTTCAGGATTTTGTATTCCGTCATATTTAGTTAGATCTCTATCAGTAAAAACACCTTAAGAATTTCTTTCTCTTCTTTATATAATTGCTTTATATTATTTTTAATTAGAAAAACTAAATTTTAATATTTTAAAATATATTTATTTTTAAAAAATGAATATATATAATAAATTTCTTTTTTAAAAAAATATGAATGTACCTTTATCTTGCGTTTCAGAATTTTCTGATATAACTTTCTTTTATTATTTAGGAAAGTAATAATCATATAATTACCAAATAATAATTGCTATAAATACAAAAAGAATATAATCTAATGAATCCATTTATTTTATACTATTTATATATACTTTTAATTAAAAAAAAAAATTAAAAAATAATATATAAATAATATAATATTATCTGAATATTTAAATTAAAGAAAAATATATTTTATTATATAATATTATTTTTTTCTTTTTATTATAAATTTTCATTTTTGAGTATTTATTATGTTTATTTTTAATTTAAATTTTATATTAAAAAAAAATATTAAATCAAATTTTAATTTTATTAAATATATTTATTTAAAAAAATTAATAAATATAATAATTCAATATTTATATATAATCGTATAAATCATTATTTTATTATAAGAAATTTATTTATATATAAGAATAATAATATTTTTTATTATTAAAAATATAAATTTTACAAATTAAATCTTTAATAATATAATTTTTATTAAACTACATTTATATTTAATTATTATAATTAAATAAAAAATAATATTTATTTGTTAAAAACTTTTATTTTGTAAACTTTGTTTTTATTAATAATTGTTTAAAAATACATAAATTTTTAGAATAGAAGTTAATATACTAAAAATAATTTATATTATATTTATATTTTTATAATATATAAAATTATCTAAAATATTTTATTTGATTTTTATTAAAATTATAATACTTAAAAATATTTCATAATTGCTTATTTTTATATTATTCAATATTTTTATTTATAAATAAAATAATTTTTAAAATTATAAAAATAATTATACTTAATAAATAAATTTTAATTAAATAATAAAATTAATTCATCATAATATATATTGCGATAATATTCAAATATTCTAAAATTTCTTAACATCGATAAATAAAAAAATTAAATTTAGTTTATAATATTTAAATATGACAAATAAATGAATTAAGTTATATTAAAACGCAACAACCATTTTTTAAATAATTTAATATTATATAATTTAGAACAAAAAAAATGATAATTCTCAAAATAAAATATAATCAAGAACTCTTAAGAAGATATTAAATGCTTATAATTATTAACAATTTAAATTTTAAATTAAAATTTAAAAGCAAATAGGATAATTTGATTGAAAAAAGTTAATAGCCAAATAATATAAAAAATAAAGTTAAATAAAAATAATAAAATATATATATATATATATATATATATATTTATATATTAATATATATTGATCATTTTTAATATTTTATTTGTTTTATTAATTATTATATTTCTTTATTTTTTCAATAAATTATAAATAATTATTTTTTAATATATATTATTTTTAATAATTTATCTAAAAATAAAATTTATTTTATAATAATTTTTATTTTTATTTTTATTTTTTTTCATTTTGGCAGTTTTATTCTATTTTTTTTTAGTAATTCTAAATATTTGTCACTTTCTGCTATTATTTATTACAACTTTTAATCTTTTTCTTTGTCTTATTTTTCTAATAGCTATATTTTTTCTTATAATTAACTGATTTAGTTTTCAATATATTGATTTTAGATTTTAAGGTTTTAAATTTATTATTCAGCATTTTAAATTTACATATTTTTTTCATTTTTAATTTCTTATATTGCATTTTAAGTTTAATTTATTTATTTATTGTGTTAATTATGTTAATAAATTAACTATTCGCTTTTTGAAACAAGTAAATTATTCAAATTTTGAATTTTTCCTTCATATGATATAACAATTTTATTAATTTCATTATCTCTTTCAATTTCCGCTTAGTTTTTAATTTAATTAATTTTAATTTCCATATTTCTAATATAATCTTCTAATTATAATGTTTATTATTCCAACTAAGCTTTATGTTTTTGAATAATTTCATTTTTTTCTTAATTATTTTAATATTCAATTTATTTATAATTCTAAATTATTTTTTCCAAAGATTAATTTTTTTATTTTTCTGAAAATAATTAAATTTAAACTGAATTCACTTAATCTATATTCTATTTCTTTATTTCGCTTATTTGTGTTTAATAATATTGCTCTTATTATAGAAGTGCCTACTTTTGTTCCATTAATTCTTCCTATAAAGCATTTTTTTCTTCTCTTGCTTATTATTAAATATTTATTATATGTTATTTATATTCATTTATATTTTCCAGTTGTATTATAGCATTTTCGTTAAAAGTAGGAATATTATTATTATTATGTTCAGTATATTAATATTATTATGGTGAATTTTTTTAATAAGAATCTATTAATGTTTTTTCTGTTGAAGCTAGTTTATACTAAAGTTAATTTCTAAGTCTTATTTAGGTAATTCTTTATTGGACTTCATTATCATGTTTTTCTTAGATTATTTTTACACAATCAGAATCTTAATTATATTATTTTTTAGATCTGTCAATTGTTTAATATTTTGCTAGATATGATGCATTTTGGAAGCTTGGGGGGTAGTTTTAATAAACTTCGTCTGAAAAAGTGTATTTATTAGAATTTATTTAGCTATGTTTTTCTAAATTTGTATATTTTTTAATGTCTTGTTGCATGATTTTATTTTTAAGTTATATTTTTTAATTTAATAATTCTAAATTAAAAAATATTAACAAAAATAAAAATATAATTTATATTTTAATATAATTTTTTTAATTTTTAATTATCATGAATATTTTTCTTATATTTCTTAAAATAAAGGATGATTTAATGCTTCGCACGCAGAAATTCTTTTTTCAGGACAAAATTATAAACATCTTTACAATAAATCAAGTAATAAATCTGATTTTTCTAAATGTGAAAACTGTTTTTCATATATTTAAAATTCTTCAAAAATTTTAGAATCAAAAGGAACTTTTTAACTAAAATAATCATATTCTTCTTAATTGAGAAAACCTAATAATCTAAAAATTTAAATTAATTAATCTCCTTCATTTTTTCCTTTAAATAAAAGTTTATTTGTTACTAATTCACCTAAAATACATCCAAAAGCTATTTTTTTTAAAAAAAAAATATATTATTATATATTACATATTGTTAATTACACCAAATATCTATTTTTGTGCTATATTTAGTTATACATAGCATTAATTCAGAGGCTCTATAATACAGAGAAACTATATATGGAATGTTTTACCCTTTTTCATCTATATATTTTGATTCTCCAAAGTCACATATTTTACTTTTTGTTCTTCATTTATTTATATATTATCTCTTTTTTTTAAAAAAAAAGTTAAAAATATTTTACGGTTTCAAATCTCTATGTACTATACTTTTTTTATGGATAAACTCAAGATCTTTAATATTTAATATATAATTTCTTTTATTGTTTGTTCAGGAATTTTTATTTAACTTTTATTACACTTTTATATGAATTATTCTAAGTTGTTTTCCATATATTCGAAAAATATATTTATAAATAATATATTATCATCTGTTTTTGAAAAATAAACATCCTTTGTTGTATTAATTTGCTTTTTATATTCAATTTTTATTTACTATCATTTTAGCAATATAATCACAAGTTTTAACTGTTTAAAGTATTTCAAATTCTCTGCTTAGTTTATTTCCTATCTTTTATACTTTATTTAGTGCTACTTTTTATTAGTTTGTATAATCGTATGCCTCAAATACATATCCTTTAATTTAATTTTATGTTTCATATAAGATTTTTTTGTTTAAAATGAATTACCAAAAGAACCTAATCCAATTACTCTTATCAATTCATAATTTGGTAATTATATAATTTTTTTATATAATTTTGTCAAATTTTATTTTTATTATTAAAAGAATTACAGCTTTATAAAAAACTATAATAAAATATATATTTAGTAAAAAAAAAAAAAATTAGTAAATTAAAATAAAATAAATGATTATAAATACTTAAAAAATAACATAATATATATATATATATATATTTTAGATATAATTATTGGAAATTAATAATATATTTTTTTAAATTTCTTAATTTTAATTATTTAATTTTATAAATGTTTTTTCACATTTTAAATAATTATAATTTTTAATATCTTTTATTTAATTAATTAATTTAAATAATAATGAATGCCAATTTATACAATTTTTTTATATTTTAAAATAATTGAGATATTTTATAAAGAATATTTAATAAAAGAAAGCAATTTTATGATTTAATGAAGATATAAAGCCATAAAACTTTGTATTTTATAAATATCTACTATTAATAAATATTAATGATTATTAGAATAAGTTTTAAACATATTTAAAAATTAAAAATTATAAAATTCTAATATTTTTGTTTTATTAAGATATATATTGAGTATAAGCAGTCAGTATACCAGAATAAAATATTCAAAAAAACACTTAGATTTTCAACAAAATCGAATTTATAATTGAATATTTTCTATTCCATAATATTAAATAAAAAATAATTAGTCAATGTATTTTTTTCAAAATAAATAAATTTTAGATATAATAATTTTTTATATCATATTACCTATTTATTTTATTATTCTTAGTCTACTTTTAAAAATTTTACGAATTTATATATTAGTTTTTGCAAAAGAATTAAAAATATATAATCAAATAATTTTATTTAAAATAAAAATAATTTATTATAAATAAAAAAGAAAATTATTATTTAAGTAAAATTATTAATTACAAATAAATAGTTAAAATAAAGCATTATTGTATAAAGGAAATATATTATATGATATCTAAAAAATAATTATTTTAGATTTTTCATATAACAAGAAAATATTAAAATCAAAAATAATATAATTGTGAAAATTTATAAGCAAGTTATTAAACTAGTTAAAAACTATATAAAATATATATTTTAATAAATTAATGATTTGTTTTTTATGAAAAAATTATTAATTCTTTTTTTAATTTTTTTTTTTTTTACATTATAAGCATAGGAATAATTTTTATTGAGCAGAATAAATTTTTACTTTTCAAAAAAAAATATATTAAAAACAAATTTAAAAGATACAAATAATATTTATTTTTAAAAGAGTATTATAAAAATAAAGTATCATATAACAAATAATAATTAAAAAAAACAAAAAGAAAAAAAAAATGTCTAAAGAATATACAATAAGATTTGTACTGCTAGTATAAAAAAATAAATATTTAAGGTATGACATACTTCCGTTTTATTTTTTATACGCCATAGTTTTATATTGGTGGTATGATTCACCTGAAGATGACGATGTATATCCACGTCTAGCATTTATAGGCACAACATTCTTGCATTGTATTACATATTTACTTGGTCATTGGTCATAAAGAATGAAAGGATTTCTATAATTTAATTCCTTTGGAAGTGATAAATCTGATAATGCTATAAGTAAAGCAACATATGTACTTATATAAATGGAATAGAAGAATGTTCGTTAAATAAATGAAATCGTCTAATTAAAATATGATATCGAAAAGCAAATATTCTTTATTAATTTTACAGAAAATAAATACATTTTTGATGAAAATAAGCGAGAGTTTTACAGACTAAAACCTCATATAAAAAACAGGCACATCGATGAATTCGTCAAAGGAGAACATAGGCAAGACACAACATATTTCGATAGAAATTCACTCGAAATTCCCATTAAAAAATTCAGAGATATTTTCAAAGACTAAATAATGGAGTAAAAAATAAAAATTTATTTAATAATTTTTTTTAAAAAAGACCATTTTCATTTTTCTAGATGTTTAGCGTTTCTTTATGGCTAATGGACGAAAGTCGTTTTTATGCTTTGTTGACTTTATTTATGCTTGTCCTTAGTGCATTTACTGTAGTAATATAAAGAATGAGGACCATGTTAATGCTAAGATAAATGAAGCTACATCCTTAATACATAAACGCTTATAGAAATAAGCGTTGGATAAAAATTAATTCTGAGGATTTATCCCCAGGTGATATAGTATAAATATAAACAAATGAACAAATAAAGCCTGTTTAAAATGATAATCAAGTATCTGATGAGTAATATTTGCGTGAATAGGTACCTTTTTCTCATTTGTTTCCTCAAAAATTATTCAAGTCAAATGAGAGTTCGAATTCTTTTTCTTATAAAACACTTCCCTGTGATTTGCTTTTACTTTCAGGAAATTGTGTGGTAAATGAGTCTGTTTTAACAGGAGAATCGATTCCTTAAATAAAAGATTCAATTGAAAATTACCCACATCAAGAGATTTTAGACTTAAAACTGAAGCATAAGACTTCTTTACTTTTCTGTGGAACGGAAGTCATTTAATGCTTTCCAACAGAAACTTACCCTGAACATATAAGAGTGAAACCTGAAAAACCTTCATGCTTAGCTTATGTACTTAGGACAGGATTCGACACATCTAAAGGGAAGTTAATTAGGACTGTTTTACATAACAACGAAAATATTTAAATTAAATAAAAAGATGCATTCGCTCTTATAGGAATTTTACTAATTTTTTCTATTATTTCTTCAGCTTATGTCCTTTTCCATGGATTAGAAGATGGAGATAGAAATAAAAACAAGCTTTTTATCAGATGTATATTGATTATTACTACTGTTGTTCCTCCTGAATTGCCTATGATTTTGACAATTGCAGTAAACACGTCTTTACTATATTTACAAAGGAAGAAGATTTTTTGCACTGAGCCTTATAGAATTCCTTATGGTGGTAAAATCACAATGTGTGCATTTGACAAAACAGGCACCCTTACAAGTGACTAATTGAAATTTGTGGGAATCTTGGACTAATTAGATAATATTAAAATCCTTAAATAATAATACTCAGAAAGCAATATTAACGCTTAATGTGTACTTGCTGGCTGTCATTCTCTTTTACAGACTGATAAATAATTACAAGGAGATCCTATAGAAATTTTATTTTTTGATAAGGGAGATTGGAAATATGATTCAGGATCAAAAACATCAAAAAAAAAAGGAGGAACTTAATGCAGAATTTTACAAATGTTCCCTTTTAGAAGTGATTTGAAAAGAATGTCCACATTAGTGCATTGGGAACCTGATAATGGGCAAAAAGAATATCGTGTATTATGTAAGGGAGCTCCTGAAATAATCGAAGGATTATTAAAAAAAATTCCTCCTAATTATAAGAGTGCTTATGAGTTTTATTCTAAATAGGGTTATAGGGTTTTAGCTTTGGCTTATAATCCTTTGGAGGGAAATATAAACTTTTAAGAAATTTAAAGGGAGGAAATTGAAAAAGAGTTGATATTTGTAGGCTTTTTTATTTGCGATTCTCCTTTAAAATATGATACTTAATAATATATTAAGGTTTTATAGAATGCATAGTATTAGATTTTAATGATTACTGGAGATAATTTACTAACTGCAGTTTCGGTTGCTAGCAAACTTAATTTGGGAAAATCTTAATAATATTTATACTTAGATACATAGGATGGAGTCACTTTTTATTGGAGAGATGAAGATAATAAAGAAGTTTCAAATAGTATTAAAAAGATAGATATTTAAAAATTAAGTTAATAGTATTTATTATGCTTGACAGGAAATATTATTGAAAAAATTATCAAAAAAATACCTATTGATAATCAAAAAGTGCTATATAAATATGTGTAAATTTACGCTAGAACATCTCCTGCGTAGAAAGAACATATTATTTTTACTTTAAGATAATTCGGCGAGCATCTATTGATGTGTGGAGATGGTACTAATGATGTAGGAGCTCTTAAAAAAGCAGATATAGGAATTGCTTTAGTTGGTTTAAAAGATGAATAAACTTAAGAATAAAAAAGATTAGAAAAAGAAAAAAAAAGAAAAGAACAAGAAGAATTAAAAAAAGGTAAAACACACTTTTAAATATATATTTTAATTTTTATTAAAATAAAATAATAATAATATTAAAGATTTCAGAAAATACATGTAACATATGTAATAATAGAAATTAAAAGAACAATAAGAAACAAATTTATTAAGTGGAGCAGATTAAATTGAGTACAAAGCAGGAGATGCTTGTATTGCAGCCCCATTCACAAACAAGCATTCAAACTCAATCCGATGTGTAATAATGTTGTTAAGATAAGGTATCTGTACATTAGTTACAACAATTTAAACATATAAAATACTCGCATTAAGTTCCATAATATAAGCTTATTCATTATCCGTTTTACATATGGAAGCATTAAAATTATCAGAAACTTAATAAACAATATTAGGAATTACAGCAGCTATCGCTTATTATTAATTTTCGAACTCTAGGCCTTTAAAAAAGCTTTCTCCTGTAAAACCTGTAAGTACAATTTTTGAATGGTATTTTATTGTTTCTGTTATTGGATAATGTTCTTTACATTTATACGGAATGCAAAAAAGTTTTGATATTGGAATTTAGTATTCTACCCCTGATGAATTAAAAATCACTCATGATTAAGAATTCAAACCTACATTTTTAGGTACTTGTGTTTTCTTGTATTAGTTATTATCTTAAACTTGTATTTTCTTGTTTAATAATGGAGGGGAACCCCATATGGAAGGATTTTCAAAACATCCGAAGTTCTTTAAAATGCTAATTGTTTGCCTTATTGGATGTTTCGTGTTTTCACTCAATATAATGCCTGATATTTCTACTTATTTCGAACTTAAATTCACTGATGTTAACTCTTAAGCTAATGAAGAATTATTTAAATTGTTTTCGATTATTTCTATTTGTAATTATTGTTTAGAAATGAGTCTTAGGTATATGAAGTTAGGAAAGTTATATGGTTATATTTGAACTATTATTTATGTTTATTTTTTTTAGAATTTTAAAAAGTTTTTTCTAAATCTAATTTTAATTTTTTTAATTTTTTTACTAAATTAATTATTATTCAAAAAAAAAAATATCTTTTGAAATAAATTTATTATAATTAAAATATATTGAATAATTATATAAATACAAAAATATTTTTATGATAATGTTTTATTCAGTTATCAATCATATTTAAGAATTCTTTTGACGTAAAATAGCTAATTTTTATTGTCCCATTGAGTTTTAAATTAAGAATGATCTTTACAAATGCTATAATTGATGTGTTATATAGGCTTCAATGAATTATGTTAATTTTTAAATGAAAAATTCATATTTTAAAAATATTATCTATCAAAAAGCATTTATAACAATTATTAGGAATTCGTAACAGTATAATTTTATTTCCTTTAAGCAAAACGCTTGGCTTCTTGATTATTTATTAAATATTAGCTTTAAAGTGTTTCATTTTATTGACTTGTATGAGTATTAAAGTTATTATAATTAATCATTTTTTAAGATTAAAATTACGATTTCATATTTTTATCATTTTTTCTAAAATATTTATTGTCTAAAATTTATTTATTTTATGAAAAAAAAAATTAATTATCTATTTAAGATTATTTTTTATTTAAATTTAATTATTTTAATTTATATTTTGATAAAGAATTATATTATCCTTGTTTAAAATACTATTATTATTATAATACTGTATTTCTTTAATAATTATAACTTGGATTACTTATATTTTAAGTTTTCTATTTAGTTGAAAAAATGAAAATAAATATATTATATAAATTACTATTTTTTAAATAAAGGAATCATTTTAATTTTATTTTTTTAATCTGTTTTTTTGTTATTATTCTTTCAAAAATTTAATAAAATGTTTTTTTTTTATATCATTATCGCTTGATATAAAGCCTTTGAAGTTAATTCTTTTAAACTTTTCAATTAAATTTATTTTTTAACCTTACTAATTAACCTATTTTTATGTTTATTCTGTATAGTTTTCTAAATAATTCATTTCTATAAGTTTAAATACTTTCGCATAAGACCTCATAGCATTATCAAATTTCAAATCTTTGTCTTAAGTTAAATTTTATTATACAATATTTTTATTTGTCATAACATCTTTATTTTTTGTAGTATTTATACATTTGGTCTATTTATTTTAAATTTATTTATTTAATCGTATTTAAGATCTTTTGTTCTTGATAGAATTTGCAAAAGAGTTAAATTAATTACTACATTCATTTTGTTTAAGACAATGGGAAGATTTTATATTTGTTTCTGATTTTTTTCGATTTTCAATAAGATTTGACTTATTTCGACTTGATTAGATATTTTTGCAAGTAAAAAGACCTATTTCTTACAATCTGTCTTTCATTTTCTTGATTTCTTAAGAACTATTACTTTAAAATTGGATATTATTAGTTTTATCAAACATTACACTTATAGGAAATTTTTTAAGTTCAAAATATTATTAAAAATCTTTTTCATATTATTATTTTACATTCTTTTTTCTTATTTTATCCAAATCAATTTTATTTTCTTATAATTAATTATCTATAGAAGATCTCTTATTATTAGTATTATTATTTATTTTTAATTTATAATATTAACTTTTTTTTTAATTTTCATATTCCTATTACTAATTATTATTATCCATTATATTTATAAAAGATTCAAAAGTATTATAAAATTGGCTTTTAGCCACATAGGCTTATTATTATATTTATAATTTAGAAGTATTAGGAGTATTACTTCCTTAAGAGTTTGAATTATTGTTACTATTTAAAAAGGGGGATAATATTTTTTACTATTAAAATTTTTTTTTTTCAATTTCGTATTACTAAAGCATTTCTTCTTTTCTTTAATGTCTCCATTTGTTTTTTAATTATAAAGATTTTTTAAATTCATCAAATTCATTTATTTTATATTTAAATTTATACAGTAAATCTATTTTAGAGATCATATATAATTCACTATCTGTACTTATACACATAATGCTAAATTCTCTTTGATTAATATTTAAAATACATTCTTCTCCAAAAATTTCACCTTAGGTTAAAATTCCTATTTAAAGATTTTGTTTTATACTAATTTTTCGGCTTTCTTCTAATTAATCGATTTCGTTTATTTCATCATCAAATTCTTTTATTATTCGAAATTCTCCTAAAGAATATATTAAATATTGATTTTTATTCGCATTTATATAAAAAAAAACCTGATTTTACAATATATAAGCAATTTGATAGATCATTTTCTTTGTATAAATAAGTATTTTTATCAACGTTTTTTATATTAAAAGGATAAATAAATTAACTAAGTTCAGATTAAATAAAACATTTAAACTAAGGAATTTAAGTAAAGAAAATTAATTTTTTATCACCGTTTTATTCTTCTAAATCTTAAATAAATAAATTATAATCAATTTCATTTAAAACAGCAAATTCACAATCTGTTTCTGTAATAGCTGTAATATTTTATTAGTAAATTTCTTTTTAAAATTTTTCCAATACAAACCCAAAAAACTAACCAAACTCTTTTTTATATTAAATTTGTTTTTTATTATCATTTATATTTACTACACCTGATATTATTATGAAAAATTGATTTACTTTATTTTTTAATATTACTTAATTTTTTGGATATTTAAAATATTTAAACTATTTTATAACTTATTTAAAAACACTTATACCATATTTATTTTTTATTTGATTTAAAAAAACTATGTTATTTTAATATATATTCTCTAATACACTTAAATCATCATCTGTCCTTTCTTGTAAAGGTTTTTAAAATATGTTTCTTTATATTTATTAAGAATCTATACATTCTATTTAAAAATCAGGATTAATTAATAATTAATCATAAATTTATTAAACTTTTTTCAAAAAAGGAAATTTTAAAAGTTATTATAATTAATCATTGTTTTCTTATTTTTATTAAAAAAAAAAACTCTTGCTTTATGTTTTTTCGCATTCAATGCTTTAATATTGTTGTTTCATATTTATTTTATTATTTAGTTCTTTTATTTATTTAATTTAAATTAAAAACTGAAATATAAATATTATTCTAAAAAATTTTATTATAAATATATTATACTTATTTTAAAATAATATTTTTAGTTATTTTAAATTTAGAAACCAAATACAAAATAAAAGATTTTTTTTAACAATAACTAATTAGGTTTATTTAAATATACATTATTTATTGCTTAAATATATATTATTTTATTAAATTATAGGTAATCATTATATTTTATTATCAATAAATTTTTTAAATAACTTAAATAAAAACTAGATATCATTTAGATTTTTTATTCATTGTTTTACTAATTAATAAAATGATTTCAAAGATTCTTGCAAAATCATCATTTTTGATAAAAACAGCCTTTCTATTATTATAAATACAGTCTTTCAATTATTATATATACACTATAAAATTTATAATTCTATAATGCCCTTTTATTTATATTCTTATTTTAATTATTTTTTATTAAAATATTCAATTGTATTATTAATACAATCTATCTTATCAGGATTATTTTTTTCAAAATCACCATAAATAAAATATTGGTTAAAAATAAATTTAATTAATTTTATTATTATTTTTAAACTCCTTCTAATTTTATTTGGCTAGAATTAAATTATGTCATTAATAATATAATTTTAACCCTAAATGTTTAATAATAATAATGAAAAAAAAAATACTCGATTTTAAGATATACAAACATTCTAAGAAAATTTTCCCAATTCTTTTTTTTATTATATTTAATATTTTTTAAAAAATTATTAAATACATATTTATTTAATTTTTGATTATTTTTGTTTCGTATATATCAATATTTTTATTATTACCTATATTAATTAATTCTAGTAATTAATTAAAACTATTTTAAACAGTTAACATAGAGGATAAGCCTAGTAAAAACACTAGTTCAACCTATCCTTTAAATAGAGTTTAAATATAAAATATTTATAATATTAACAGAACTTATAATTTTAATAATTAAAAAGGAAATTATCCTTCGTTTTTTATTATAAATTATTTAATTTTAATATATAATAAATAAAAAGGCAATCTTTTATTTTATTTAATAAATTAAATCCCATTTTTAATGAGTCAAAATCTTGTAATTTTTTTTTTTTATTATTTAAATCAATCTTCAAATTTATTAGCATTTATTCCTCTGATGTCGATTCTATGTTAATTACTTAAATATTTTTGAAAAAAACATTAAATTAAGTGTAATTTTTAAATATTTTTTTTTAATAGTTATTTCAAACTTTGTTAATATTTATAATCTTATTTATAGTGAATGTTTTAACACTTGATAGATGGTTTAAATGTTAAAAGTCTAAAAATAGTTTATTTAATGCGTATCTAACGCAATAAAGAGAACTAAATATTCAATTGAATTATATTTATTTTTCATTGTGAATTTAAAAAATGGATTAATTTCTTATTACATTTTTTTAACTTTTTTATAATAGTAAAAATATAAAAAAGTATTATAATTTAATTATATGTTAAAAACTAATTTACCCTTTATTTAATCATAAAGTATAAAAAAAAAATGCAGGACTTAAACATATTTTGATAAATTAAATTCAGAATAATGAATGTTTTTAAATATATATTTTTTTAAATATAATTATAAAATAAAATTAATGTTTTTTGTTATAATATTTAATAATATATTAATTTTTTTCTAAACTAGAACATATTATATATTTGTTAGGATCTAAAAAATGAACATTAATTATATACAGTATTATGAACAATTTTCTTTTATATATTTTTAAATAGAATAGAGTTATTAAAAATAAAATAAAAATTAAAATAATTAAATATTTAAAAACCAAAATTAATAAGAATATATTTATATATTAATAAATTATTTAAATACAAATAATATTTAATAAATTCATAATTATGATAAACTAGATTATTAAAATTTCTCCATTAAATTAGAATATTTTTAGTTCATAATATTTTAAATCCTTTTATAATCAAAATTATTCTATTCAAATGGCATCTGATTTTGAT